AATAATTTTGACATAAAGTATTGTAGAATTTTACGATGAATTTATATATATATATATATATATATATATATATATATATATATATATATATATATATATATATTAATTAAAATAAATGAAGTCAAGTTAGGTGAGGTTAGGTCAATTACGTATTTTCAAAACTACAGAAAGCTTTAAAAACTATGAAACTTTAACACACATTCAAAAAACAAAATATACATTTACTAGCAGATGCAGAACAAAAATATAACTGAACAATCTATCGAACATGTTTAACAATTTGGATATATCTTGGTAATCTCGTTTATACAAAAAATAATGAACAACGAAATCAACAGACGAAACCTTTTTACTAATATATACTACTTTGGCCTTTTAAAACCACTAAAATTAATGAAAATCAATAAAAAATAGCCAGAGGATACGTTTAGCAGATGAACAATAGGAAAATATAGAGTATAATAGACCAGCATTTCTGTGTCTGATTGATTTAAAGAAAGCATTTGACAGAATAAGACTCAAAGATGTAATCCATCGTCTGTATAGTAGAGAAGTTTCTCTACATATCTTAAAAATCATTGAACATATCTACTACAACATCAAAATGGAAGTCAGAGTAGATGAACAACTTACAGAACCTATAAAGAAAGGCAGCGGAATAAGGCTCATTGCGCCCTATGCGCCTCAATTTAATCATGGATGAAATCATCAAAAGCGCTAACAGAGGAAGAGGATACAGAATGGGAAACAAAGAAGTTAAAATATTCTGTTATGCAGACGACGCGATATTGATAGCTCAAGACAAATAAAGTCTGCAAAGACTAGTCTCCAGATTAGCATAAGAGCAGAAGAATTAAATATGACAATCTAAACTGTGGTCTGCCCGTTGAGCTCAGGATTTTTTTATCAATATCTTAAGATCCGTAACAATTTGGACCTCTTTGAAGACTGAGTGAGAAGAACATGTTGCTTTAGGGGCTTGTCAGTGTGCTTCTTCGTTTTCCAATATACTAACATGAGATGGAGTCCGGATCATTATGACATTTATGTTAGCAGAATATAGTTCGTTATAGATGGTGTGTATTCCTAGACTAGTGGATTTTTGGAGAAGATGCATCTTATAGAATGAATCTAGGAAAGAGAACCAGTACAAATGGCAATTGTTTTGCTTTTATTTGAAGTAGGTTGGATTGAAGTCTTTACTGCTTGAAATATTCCATATAATTCTACCATGTAAATACTACATTGTAGACACACGCAGCAACAACAGTCTTCATTCTTGGACGCATCGGTGTACAAAATTTCATCAAATTGTATTAAGTTGGGGATGTTTTGGAAGGATTTTCTGCGGATTGGTTTGTGGTTTCTGTTTTATTAAATCTGCATAAATCAGTATTGAATATTGGAAGATTGTTCATCCATGGAACTATCTTGGAGGTATAAACAGAAATAGTATTTAAAAGGTTGATGGAATCTAATAAAAGAGATAATATTTGTGGTAATGTGAGTGTGTGATTGGATGCGTTTGCTGGAAGAGGTTCTATGGGATTGATTATATTTATTACTAGGTACGTGGGTTTGCTGATATTCTTACAAAGTATGAAAGTAGTAGTTGCTGCCTTCTTAAATGAAGTAGTAGTTCTGCAGGTTCAATTAAAAACATTTTCAGTGCGGCTTGATTTGAAACCACCAAGACATAGTCGTAGGGATGTATTTTGAATCGTCTTTAGAGACTTTAGTAAGGAACTACTAGATGCCATATAAAGAATACTGCCTTAGTCTAGCTTAGAGCGAATTAACGCTCTATATATTTTAAGGAGATATTTTTCATCAGCTTCTTAAGAGTAGCCAGCAAGAGATTTAAGTATATTGTATATTTATTTAGAGTTATTGAAGGTAGATTAGGTCTATGCTTTTTGGTAAATTGAATTACTTTGGATTTAAAAGCTAAAAACCAAAGAAAACGCGTACACCAAGTGTCTATTTTGTTTATTGCATTTTGTAGCAAAGTGTTGGTGGTAGTTGCTACTCTGCCTTGGCGGTATAGTATAATATCATCAGCATATATCGAGTACCTGAATGGTGGTTCTATATATGAGGAAACGTCATTCATGCTAAGTAAAAATAAGGTAGTGCTTAAAACTGAGCCCTGAGGTAAACCGTTACAAAGCATGTGATTTTGATATTCTTCCATTTGATAATAATCTACAATATCGATTTGTTAATTTTTTTTTTAAAATAAATAAATGCTACCAGTTAAATTATATTCTGTTAATTTTCTGAGAAATAGAGGTCTTTGTACAGTGTTGAAGGCACCTTTGGATATCTAAAGTTACTGCTATGACTTCGCTTCTATTCGAAAATGCGTTAACAATGTCAGTGTGTAGTGTGATCAAGTTATCAAGTAGTGATACAAGATGAAGCATGTATGGAATGGGTCAAGAATATTATGTCTTTCTAGATACCATAGTAAGCGTTTATAGTCAATCTTTATTAACAATTTACATAGTGAACAAGTGAGAAAACTTGGTCTATATGATTTTAGAAGCTTTGGAGATGGGTAAATCATTCTGATAGGACTTGCAGTTGCTTGTCGCCATAACGTTGGGAATGGTTTTTGAGACCAGATCTTATTTTATAACTTTAGCAGTTTGAGATATATGCCCAGATGAAGATTTTTTAAGAATATTAATGAAATATCATCTGGACCGGCTGCTGAGTTTTTTAATGACGAGATGGCTTCGTTTAATTCTAGGAGATTAAAAGGAAGATTAATAGAACTAGTGTTAGAAAATATTTTGGGGCTGGATATACTGGTATCTGAGTTATCGGGAAGATTCGGACTATTTGATTTATCTATATATAGCAATTATTCATTGGCATAAAATTTGTATTGCAAATTTTTGTTTTACAATTAAAATCGGTTTTTGAAAATAGCATATTTGAAATCCTTGTCGTTCGAGACGATTTAAAAAAAAAGATCAAAATCCCATAACAGGAAACCGGGAAAATGCAATTATCGAAGCTCGTTGTGAATTTGAACTCGCCAATTCACCTTTTTCCTCAGCGCAACCGGAGGGGCTACCCCCACCCCTACCTCTCATGCACTTAAACGACTTTTTACGCAAAAACGATTTTTTTCGTCTTTTTTATGCATGTTGTCATAAGGTGCATCACACAAAAAATTTTATATAAAAAGTACTAAACAAGACAAGGGTATTTGTTTAAAAACTTGCCTTTATCACTTATGGTATGGCGCCAAGTTTAGCTTCTATTTCTCAGCAACCAATAAACCGAATGCATTGATTTTTTTAAACGCGCCCTTCTTACGGTTTTAAAAGCGTGAAATGAAACTCGCGAAAGTTATTTTATTGATTTATAAGCCAAAAAGTTGTTTATAATTTTAAAAAATTCCGTAGGCTATCCTTGTTATCCGATTTCAATTTTTCGAAGTGCTTTGGAAAGCTTAATATTTCTTTTTTATATAAAAAACGTTATATAAATTAAAACCCCAATATATTTTGACTTTTTAAAGTGCTTGTTTTGGGCACGACATAAATTTGAAAACTGCAATTATTTTGCGGTCTCTGGATTGTAAAATTACGCAAACACTATTAAATCGCCTATTCCAATCGAATTTAGCACATCTTTTAGTGGTATTATAAAATTTTTGTTAACGAAATATAAAGGCTGTAAGTTATGATTAATTGATTAAAAACTCTATTTTTTGGACCTTTTTTTCAAAATTATTGCTATTTTTAAACAATTAACAATGAATTTTTAATTTAAAGTTTATATAATATTCTGTCAAATTAAAAAAAAAAACAAAACTTTTACCCTACATACATTTTTTTGTTTTTTGTAGGTGCAATATCGAGTTATAAGCAAACATATGGGCGCAAAAACTGAAAATTTTCTATTTTTTTTTTAAATTTTGTTAATTAAAAAATTAAACCTAAATTTTGCACCTGGCGCATGTCGTGATTATTATTACAAGGTATATCCTGAAGTGATTCCACTAAAAAATATATAACCATATGGAAAATGTTCAGTTCAAACCATATCCCGCTTCGACTATTATGTAGAATCTATGAAATAATAGAATAGCAAAAGCCAGTAAAACATAATAGAAGATTGTTTAAGAAAACCTACAACATCAATCACAAAAGCAAGAAAAGGGAAAATACAACAATTCGATGAGTTTGTCAATAATTCTTCGTCCATTTGGTGACATATCTCATGCTCGCGGCCGGTCCCAAGCTCGGATAAAAGAGGAATTTTGATGAGCCAGGTTAGTATTCTACCCATTGTAAAAGAAAACAAGGCTCAAAGAAGCGATATAAAGCCTCGGATCCAGACGGAACCTAAGATGATGAACCACGCAAAGAAAAGAAAAACGAGAAGAAAAAATAAGCCCACAATCATATTAGCAACATGGAACATTACTTCTTTCAACAACAAAGACCAAGAGATAATAAAAGAACTGATAAATAAAAACATAGACGTTTGTGCAATGCAAGAAACTAAGAAAAAAGGTAAAGGCCAAGAGACATAATATGAGACGACGTATCGAAGTCGAAAAAAAAGGACTTATGGCAACTTATACGTATAGATAACGTTTATACCTACAATAATTTAAAAAATTTATATTTTTTGTCTTATAAATTACGGTATAAAAGTACCCACTTGTGATAATAATATTATAAATACGTTCATTTACATATATAACTAAATATATATGTAATCTATTTGTATAAATCTTAAGCATAAGTTTCTATTTTATTTAAAAATGTGTTCATAATATTTTTTTATTAAATAGGTCACTGAAGGTGGTGGTTACGAATCAAAATTTGTATGTCAAAACAATTTCACAAAAATCGCAACCTAAAATCAACCTACCAAGTATAAAATATGAGGTTACACAGTTTTCCTACAGTACGTTAACTGTAATTTCTACCTCTCAAGAATAATAATTAATACATAAACAATAGTCTACTCACTATGCAAAGAGTATCCTCCTTTCTCCAAAGTGCAATAATTCTAAACAATTTCGTCAATAACAACTACACTATTTAAAATAATAAACAACTAAATACCACACAATCCTCCCACGAATTTTTTGTGTCTCATTTTCGAAAATCGTCTCTCGTTTACTTTTGAATCATCGCGGGTTTTTAGTGTGTCGTACGGTTTCTTAAACAGCGGTTACTTCACCACAGTCCGTCAAGAACTGACAGACCAAGAATACAAGAAGTATCTACCATTCTCTTTTGACTAATGCGCCAGCGCGAGCGCGAAGAGAATGTCTTAAGCTGAGTGTTGGCGGAAGAAGTTTTTAGCGGTTTTGATATGAGGTTTCGCTGTGCAAAAACGTTTGGGAAATTAATGATTCACACCCTCATCGATAGCATCGTTACTGCTACATCTAATAAGAAATTTAATGATTTCCCACAAAGTGATGCCAAAGTAAAAAATGGATATTAATCCTAGATGTGTTTCACATATTTCGAACATTAAGTTTTTAAACAGAGTATGTAAATAAAATTGAGGAAGAACAATCAGAAACAACTTTGATTAAATAAAATGTCTCAAACTACATCGGCCAGATATTGGTTTATCATATAAAAAGCAGCAGAATTCAAATCACGATAATATGCATCTGTCACCAGGTTATTTTTGTTCGACATGCAAGAAACTTGTAAAATCATATCTGAAAGAGATACAATTTTCAGATATATGATAATTTTTCAATAAAGAAAAGAGCGCAGTGGCAAAAAGAGAAATAATCTACTTAAGAAATGGAATATTGAAGTATTCAATAACCCAACAAAAATATAACAACATGCCCTTCAAATAGAAATGAACGAAACCAGATAGAAAGAAACTGTGAAGAAGGGATGCAGACAGTTTGAAACAATTATAATAAAATCTGCAGAGGAAACTGTCGGATATGCCAAGAGAAAATGAAATGCAGAATGGTATGATGATAAATGTAAAAATGCTGCTTCTTCTTCTTTTTTATCTACCATGCGCTTTCAACAGTGGTAGATCTAGACATTTGCCTTGGACTGGCACTTCCAATGTGAAACACCAACGAAAAGATATAACACACACAATATGTTTCTTTGCACTATATTTCTTCTTCTTCTTCGCGTGCCATATGAGAATTATCCGACGTTGACGATCACCATTGCGAAGGCTTCTGCAATATGGAATAATTGTCCTGCACGTGATATCCGAGTCCATTCACAAATGTTCCTCAACCAATACACCCGTTTCCTTCCTACACCTCTACAACCCTCTATTTTGCCTTTAAGGATCAGCTGTAATATTTTATATCGACTTTCCCTTACTATATGTTCCAGATAAGACATTTTTCGATGTTTAACAGTATTTAGCAGTTCTATATCTTTGTTGACGCGCCTTGCTCCTTGCTAAAACACGGAGGAGAAAGTATAACCCTTCTTCTTCTTTTTCTCGTAGCACTACAGCCCAAAGTGGGTCTTGGCTGACTGCACAATTTGCTTCCATCTTGAATGGTCGTCCATAATAGTTGTGTCAGTGGGTAGCTGCATTGTTCTCCAAAGTATAACCCTAGAGATGACAAAACTTATACAAAAACTAATATTGCACTGCAAGATACCAGACGCATGGAGAAACAGCATAATAATACCAATGTCCAAAAGGAGATAAAGAAGAGCCCAACAATTATAGAGGTATAAATCTAAACACCGCAGTTAAGCTTACCACAAAAGTCCCAATAAAAAAAATCAATAAACTAACAACTTTATCAAATGAACAACCAGGATTCAGATCCGGAAGATCGTGTGTAGACGCCGTATAATAATAATGTCATAGTCTTTCTTACTGCCTCGTCAAATTGCAAATCAAACAGCTTTCCCCTTTTCTAGTCTTAATTAGCATTTAGATTCTAAGTTATTAGAATAGCTCGATTATTCAACTAATATTTTTTGTCAAATAAAACACTTTTCAATCACATTAGTATACTTTTAGGAAACTGTTAGTGCTAGAATATTGAAGAAAATAGAACTAGTAGAAAAAGGGACATTTTTTTTCTTGTCGGTTGATTAAAACAGACATATCAGGAAACAGATCTTATCGCTTTTTGTATTCAAATTAGTTTATTTAGGCATGACCGCAACAAACACACCAAACGATAGAAATCTTTGTAAAAAATCTGCGGAAATTCAAAATAAACAAAAGAAAGTGTATGTTACGTATACAACAGCTTTTGTTTTTATATTGGACGAGAAAATACCAGAGAAATGCAGGAATAATTTTTTTTTTAATTATGATTCAACTGCAAGAAAAATATTTTTTTAAATATATCTTTGCTTTGTGGTAGCAGTCATTGGAGCGCATATTTCACAGAGTGCATAATACTAAACAGGATCGTACTTCAGATTTTTTGACCGTTTTGTTAACGTTCGAGATGTTGTAACAGGAAAATAAATATTATGCTTAAGCAGCAGTTCTTATTTATTGTTGGTTTTTAAGTACGACCTTAGACTTGTTTTTCGACACTTTCTCCTTGGTCCAAGATCTTTGAACATTTTTCATATTTTAATTTTGGCGTATCTCCTTCCACTTTATACCCGCGTTAGAAAAAAGCGGGCGGGAGATTTCCACCATCCTCCTCTCTATAGTTGTTAAGTGATATGTAAATGAAGAAATTTTATGCATATTATAGCGTGAATTATGAATGTTCTTGGGAAAAACACTTTTTTAAAAACTAAACTTCACAAATAAAACTTTTATTTTCGACTTACAAAGATTTTAGTAGCAACAACAATAAATTAAATCAGACTAAATTATAAATCAGACTAAACTACAAATCAGACTGAAAATATTGATTTTTACATGGTGTTTTTATATTTTTATAATTGCTGATCTTGCAGTCCAATACGTCGCAATTTAGTCCAGAATGATCGAGCGGTAGTCCCGTGTGGAATCCACGTGGTAGAATTTAATGGATGGTAGCGGTCATTTTACTGTAACTACTCCATCCCCTGAAGAAGTTTTGTGAGGGACGAACAGAACTGTTGGGTAGGCCTCTTCTGGAGCTTCGTGGCTGGAGTTGGGTTTTTGTTATTTGTTTTATACCTGTAACATATTTAGAGGCAGATTATTGTAATAAAGATATATAAAGGAGTCATCCAAAAACGGTTATGGCTATTTTTCCATAATTTCGGGTTAATTGTCCTTGAATTTATGTAACTCTGGATTGGGGTTTTGAATTTGCATCTGGGCGGAAGATTGATGAGATATAGCTCAGGAGGAATCATTGTAGTAGAATTTGCGGTAGGTACAGAAAATAAATTATAATAAGTAAAGAAATTATCATATAGGACAGAAAAATAAAGGATAAATATTGCTTCCTAGTCCATTAATTAGCCCTCTTCTTGTTCTGCTGTAGGGGTAAATTGTTGAGAATTTTTCTTGAGCTGATTTTAATTGGTATCTAAGAGCTTGGTCGAACTTTTGTAAACTGCTAAAATACGGATGGCTAAACTTCCTGGTCCCATTGCTCTGATAACAGAGCCCATTGGTTCTCGTAGGCCTGCTAAGAATGTTGTAAGAGCTTGTTGACGGAAAAATTCTTGTTTGCTCCTCTTAATATCGGCATTTATGGTATGTAATTCTAGGTAATTATTAATACAGCTTAAAAGTCCCATGATCTTTTCGTAAAAATGCAAAATAGATTCTGTTGAGCCTTGTCTTAAATTTACTAGGTCCCTTGTAAGCGAATTTTCGTCTCTCTGGTCTCCAAAATTTTGAATTAATGCGTTTTTTATTTCGTCCCAACTTTCACATCCATATACAGATATAACTTCTTTTGCTCTACCTGTTAATTTGCTCATAATACCATGAAGCAAAAATTTGTTTTGGATGTTCGATGCATTAAGTAATAATGGCTTAGAAGTATTGTAGAAACTTTGATAAATTCATGTAATTCATTTGGATTTCCGTCAAAATTTGGAAGAATGTATACATTTTTAACGTCAAATTGGGGAACTGTCATATTTTAAAATATTCAATATAATGTATAGTCAATAGTCAAATCAGTATAGTAATTTTCAATAGAGAATATATATAAATATATCAATCTTAATCTACTTATTTTCTTTTTATTAAATCTCTGTGTTTATTAATATAGTATTTATTAAGCTATTAAAATTTGTCTTTAAATTTTAAAGTTTCTAAATCTGGCTCTAAAGTCAATCTAAGGACTTAGAGGAGATATTTTTAAATTATTTTAATCTTTCTGTTAATATATTCAAATCTTTGTTTAATTTATCTTCTAATCTAGCTCTGATTTAATCTAAGGACTCAGAGGAGTCTGATTTTATAAAAATTCGTTCAAAATTTAATCTTAATTCTAATTAATAATAAAAATCGCTTACAAGGTAAAGACGATGCCGATGTGCATTTCTTTCCTCCTGAAGGCTTCTAACTTCTAATTCCCTCAGGTGAACTCTGCAGACGGTTTCTCTGGGGCAGGTTCTTGGAACAGTGGACAAACACTTAAAAGTGATGAGGATCTATAAAGACTCTTCCACTTCCGTACTGACTCTGCGCCAATTATGAATGTTCTTGGGAAAAACACTTTTTTTAAAACTAAACTTCACAAATAAAACTTTTATTTTCGACTTGCAAAGATTTTATTAGCAACAACAATAAATTAAATCAGACTAAATTATAAATCAGACTAAACTACAAATCAGACTGAAAATATTGATTTTTACATGGTGTTTTTATATTTTTATAATTGCTGATCTTGCAGTCCAATACGTCGCAATTCAGTCCAGAATGATCGAGCGGTAGTCCCGTGTGAAATCCACGTTGTAGAATTTACTGGATAAAAGCGGTCATTGTACTGTAACTCGTGTCAAAACCAAGCAACCTACTAACGACATTTACTACACTTACATTAAAACAAATCTCAAATCACCCCTAACACACGTCCTGACCTTGCCATCCGATACCGCTGAACTTCGCAACCATCTCTGTTGGGGTGAGCCTTAGATAAGAAAAGAGAGGAGAAGTAATACTCATTTAATAAACATTCCCAAAGTGAGTCCAGTTTCGATGTGACCGCCATGTTTTGGTGCCTGTACGTTGCCTATTACTACCTCTAGCAGGGTTATGAGGTCTACTGATTTTTCAGTAATCTACTGATTTTAACTTGAATTTACTAATTTACGGAAACACTATATCGATCTACTAAAA